TGTTCATAGTATATGAGTGCCCCACCTTAAGCAAAATCCTTTCGGCAGCCTCTGCTTTTAATTACAACCTTTATTAATATATGTTGATGGCCTCTTGAACACTTAGCTCTTTTTGAAGAATAAACTTGGATCACACACTTAATACAAAATGCATCAGAAGTGATCTTTGATTCATATGAGCATGTGTGTGTGTGTGTGTGTGTGTGTGCGCATACGCACATATGTGTATGTGCTCAACTTGCAAGCATTATCTTGACCACAGGGCTACTAGGACAAAAATGTTTATATCTGTCTCTGGGGATGGGTGTAGCTCAGAGGCAGGGCAACTGCCCGATGCCTGAGGCCCTTGGTTCCTCACCAGCATGTGTGTGTGTGGGGGGGTGTCTGCATCCCTCAACTTTTAAGTAAATTATATACAGAAATGACAAAATTAAAAATAATCTAAGCTACTGAGGACTCACAATTTGTCTAGCACTAAGGAAAAAGAGTACAATAAGTATAAAGTACCCAGGGCTGGCCAGATAGCTCAGCAGATTACCTAAGGGGTGCACTGAGAGAGAGATTTAAGACTGGGCATGATAGCACGCCTGTAATCCCAATGCTCGGGAGGCTGAAAACAGGAGGATCATTATGAGTCTGCTCTGTGTAGTGAGACCCTGTAGACCCCGTACTAAGTACATTAAAAAAAAACCCAAAAGTAGAATACAGCAAGGAAAGTCATCATGGCCACTTACTAAATGAGAAAGTAGAGTGTGTATGTTTTTCATACCACAAAATTCTCTGATGACATTTAAGAGTATTCCTCACTGCTCTCCCACGCCTGTCTTTGTCTTCCCCTGGCCACCCCTACCCAAGGGTTGAATCCTATTGAAGGAACACAACAATAGGTTATATGAAAGGAAAGTCCTACAGACACCGGTCAACAGCTTGGGCTTTGGAGTTCTCCTTGGCCCTCTCATCCCAACCTGGGCTATCAAGAATGACAGGTTCTGACCCCAGCATGGCTTGGTACACTATTACGGTGGTCATCTAACACGGCTGAAGCCCTTCAAGCAACAGCTTACCTTCCCATCGCCCACTTTCTTCTTGCCCTCTCCAGCCCTAGATAAAATTTCTTCTTCCCTTGCCTACTCACACAGGAGAGACCCTAGTCAGCTCCTCACATGTAATTAAAAGTGCCCCTCACACTCCACCCCTAGCAAAAGTCTGTGAAAGCCTCTGTTCAGCCGATTCCCACCTGCCCTCGATCCTCTTTGTGTCTCTGGAGTTAATAAAGGCTTCTTCTGGCTTACCTATCTCTTTACTGCTCCTTTGAAAAGCCTAACAAGAGAGGAAAAGCTTCCTGACAGCAAGGCTTTCCAGGGATCTTGCTATAGGGCTGAGGGAGGCCACTGCCCTACCTTTAAGTCTCAGGTCAGAGTCACAGATCTAAGTCTCCGGCGCCCCGTTAATAGTCGCTCGGCAATACTCCTGGGAGATAGAAGTGCCTCCTTCCATCTGTTTGAATTTTCCATCTTAGATTCCGCGTATGTCTAAGGGTCGCTTTCCTGCTCCTGCATGTAGTGAGGGACAAGGAGGCTGACCCCATTTTAGCCAGTCCCACACATGTGCCTTTTTTCATTTTTCTGGTATCAGGGATTGAACTTGGGAAGCTGAGCTTGCCAGTCAGGTGTCTATGAGTTCTATCCTCAGCCCTTGCATTGGTTTCTAATAGGCAACACACAATGCAAAGCAGGGCTGAGCCAAACTCAGGCCTGATGCACTGGCGCATGCTGCATTCTGGCATGAGCAGAGCTGAGGGCAAGCTGCGGCCCCCAGCTCTCCCCCGCATGAGCCTTGACTGCCACTGACAAGTTGTGCAGAGAACACTGTCCGACCCTGGCTGGCGAGAGCTGAGCTCTTGGTGTTCCAACTACGCTGAACTACACTGTGCAGTGGCTGATAGTTCTGTAAGGCAGTCAATAAACATCCTTTCCACCTAAATCAATGAACACTAGCGTCCCTTGATTAAACTCAATCCCGTCAAAGCCATCTACTGCCTAATTATACTGACCTAAGTGTACAAGTAACTGACCTAATTATACCAAGCTGCCACCTAGACAAGGCTGTATCTAATACATAGAGCTATTATTAGCCTTCTCACTGAATCCTGTAATCATTATGGATTCTTACAGTTAAAGGCTCTGTTCAAGCTTCCTATTTCAGGGCTACAAATGATGCTTTGTAAGTGTCCATACAATGTTTGAACATATATACACTTCTTCCCTAGTGTCCAAAACATTAAACTAGACGGTCCATTAAAAAGTGATGCCAAAGACAAACAAAGCAAAATGAAACAAGAAATACCTTTGGCCCTGGGCTGCTGGCTCAAAACAACGAGATCACTGGGAGGCTAAATTCTCCAAGATGATTACTCACTAGCTTATTCCAAGTGGCTTACAGGTTCAGCCCCTTTGCCAAGTTGACTCTGGTCCAAATTTCTCTGGCACACAAATGACCAGACAGCCCTCCCATTAGTTGCCTCAGCAGGAGCCAAGCCATGAATGAGCACGGAGCCTCTCTCCCGCCTGCCCAGGCCAACCAGTGCTGCACGCAAGCCAAGGCCTCGGGACTACCTGAGAGACATACCAGTGTTAGATGCTGAGTATCTGAATTATAGAGAAGACTTCTGCTCCAGGAGTGATATAAGGAATGGGGCTGATTTCAAACAGTGGATTTCCTTTTCCTTCCTGTCTGTAGATGTCTAAAGCTGCAGTTTATGTCAGGAAACTGAGGACATTTGGTTAAAAGTCTTCTGAGACTAAAGGGTAACAGATAATTTGTCATATTAAAGATGACTTTGGAGTTTCTGCTTTTTATCAGTTGATGTGTTTTTTTTTTATAAGTAAAAATACTTGGTAAGAATATAAACTATAACTCTTTTCACACACTCTAGTCTACTAGAATATTCTCTAAGAACAAAAGCAGCACAGTGTCAAAGCGACTCTTCACTGAGACTACACAGCCAATGAATTTGGCCATAAAGGGCTCCTGTATCCCTGTTCTACACAGGGGCCAGACTCACGGGGCTCTCAGGGCCATAGGACACAAACAATTTCCTTTCACTCTCAGCCAGGTTGGAAAAGACCCAGCCATTCAGAAGCAAACAGGATGTAGTTCATTTTTTAAAAAAATCAAATAAATAAAAAAACCCTTTGATTTGACCTAGAAATAGGTCCTTTGTTTTTCACCTAAAAAAGAATGATGAATAAAATGCAGAAGTAAAGTGAAATTGAGAAAAGGATGTATTTTTTATGTATTAAAGCAAAATATCTTCATGGTTTTTTGTTTGCTTGATTTTGCAGTACTGGGGATTGAACTCAGGACCCTGAGCTTGCCAGGGAAGTGCTTATTCTACCAAGCTATCTCCCTGGGCCCAAAAGTAGGGTTTTTTTTTTTTTTTTTTTTTAGCTGGCTCAGGTTGACTTCAGGGAGGGTCTGGTGCTGCAGGTGGAGGTGGGGATCGAACCACAGTATCCTGCACTTGACTGCCTTTGCATGAGCAGACACTTACACAACTAATCTGACCGGTTGGCAGGCTCTCTCTTCTTGGTTTTTGAGAATGCAGCATAAAATCTAGCAGAAATAATTTATTATGATAGAGTTCATTTGACACATTAGGAACATAATTGAAATCTATCCCATCCAAGAAGTACAAATGAGTTTTGGTGACATCAACTACAATAACCTGGCTTCTGTTTATGCAGTTTGTGGGGACTCTTGAAAACCTCAAGGGGGGCTGGGGAGATGGCGCAGATGCCTGGCAAGCACAAGGGCCTAAGTTCAATCCCCAGTTCCACACACACACACACACACAAACCCTCAAGAGACCTCGCTGTCTGTCTGTAGGGCTTTGTAGAGGGTCTGCAATGTCCAGAGTAAAACTGATTTTGCCTCATGTCCACGGAGGCAAATTCTATTCTGTATTATCTTACTCAGTGCTGCGGTTTTCTACCATGTAACCTCTTAAGGGAAAAGTCTGCTTTATTTAACACCAGAACGCTGGCATTCATATGTTAATGAAAACACTGCTGAACAGCAGTGTCATCAGTATTTACACTGTGTGCACGAGGCTGTCGACCAGGTGTTAAATGTGAGATAGGATTCTCTCAAAAAGACAACTGCAAGGAACATTTTAATTTATGCTTTAATAATTGTGAGGAAAACATATCAGCTTTAATTCTAATCGTGCCAGACACCATTAGCTTCTCTGAGTCCCCCTTCGTCTCTAAAAAAGGAGTAACAATCTTAGCAGCACATTAAAAGGGCACAATTGAAACTTTTATTTCCTTAGGCTGCTCATAATAATTTTTTCTCGAACCTGATACTCAAGCGCAAGAAACGTGAGCGCTGGGCGTGGGAGGATGTACTACATGAACAGGAGTCTGGAGAGGTAAAGCTGCACGGCTGGCGGGTGCCAAGTGAGCAGTCACTAGTCACGACTTCACGATGACACACAGTGACCTGGATGTCTTCCAGGGTAACTTTCATTACATTCTCCTCAGATTACTTGCATTATTCAAAGAAATAATAAAAAGCAGAATAACAAAATATTCTAGTTAAAAAAAAATATTCTGGGGCAGCACTAGACAAAAATGACCTCCAGATACACGATGTGGTCAGAGTCTGGCTGCACTGCAGCACGAGATACCACACAACCGAACATGTCTTACTGCACTGGGGACAGGATAGGTATTGGAAAGACAGGTATTTGAAATACAGTATCGAACTCATTACTATGGTAAACACACTTTCGTTATATCATACTGTATTATTCAGGGTCATTTTCAGTTATATTGAAAGCATTTTAAGTTACATTTTAAAAGGGACAGATCCTGCAGGCACTAAGCACTTCTAAGGACTTACCAAGCTTTGCTGAACGTGCATCTAAAGGCAAGCACCTCACAGCTGCTTTCTTTATTCTACCCTACATTGCAGAGGTAAGGCTGAAGCTGCACTACCTTTTTTTGCCTGCTCTCCGCGGCAGCCAGCTGCGTGGACATCCTTTCCTGCATCTTCCTGCAGTGGGCCATGACAGCTTCCAGGATGGAGATGGGGTTGGTACAAACTGGCTTTTTCTCTTTGTCACCAGCACCTGCCTCATAGTCTCTCTGGAGTGCCAAGAACGGGTCATTTAGATTAAACCTTCCATACCGCTCCTGGATAAACACCTCCTTCCTGCGAGCCTAGAACAAAATAAGAAGTATATGTTAAAAAAACAAGCAAAACTATTCATAACTATCTTATAAGGTGTCATGATTTCATATAATGTTATAATTATATTTAGGTCTTAAAGGTCCCCCAGGGGGCCCAGCCCTAGCTCAGTTCTTTAAGTGGCTGCTTCCACAATGCTGGCAGCCTCAGTTTGCTGTAGTTTGATCCCCACAACACTCCAGCCATGCAAAAGTGCCCTGAAGGCATTCAAGGAGCAAAAAAAAAAAAAAAAAAAGTCCTTAAAGGTCCCCCAGAGGCCCACCCGATAAAGGCTGGGCACCTAGCTTGCAGCGTTCCTGGGAGGCGGGGGCCTCACGGCAGACGTCAGGCTGCGATGGGTGTGCTCCTGAAAGGGATCAGGAGACCCTGGCTCTCTTCTTCCTTTTGCTTCCCAGCTGTCCAGAGGGCAACAGCCCCTCCCACCACACGCTCCTACTCTGAGGTCTGGTGCTATCACAGGCTCCAAGCAGTGCCACCAAATTACCAACTGAAACCGTTAAAACCATAAGCCATGTAATTCTCTCCTTTACGTTAATTTCCTCCCGTGTTTTGTCATGGTGATGAAAAGCTGACTAACACACTTTCCGCTTATAAACGCTGCCATTTATTAGACAAATGACACCAGCTTTTCAGTGATCCCCCAACTCCTCAAAGAGTCTACATTTTAGGTGCAGCCTTTCCAATTTAAAGTAAAATCAGTGATCACTATACGCCTTATATGTAGACAAACTATTACTGTACTCCAAGATGTGCACAGATAAAAAAATTAAAATCAGAAATATTGGCAATTAAAACAACTTTTAGCGGAAGTTCAAAATAAAATGATCTCTATCGTTACAGAACTTATACTTCAAAGAATAATCAAGATGAGTAATAACAAATTCCCTACATTTTTTCTAATCAGAGAGCAAGCATTAGACATGTTAGAAAAAAAAATAATTTGTTAAACTTTTTATGTAGCAAAATCACAGCACCCATATTTTGTAGTATGATCAAATACAAAGCATTCAAATTTTTTTTTATTTTCTAAATTAAAAATCTCTTATTCATTTATTTATTTAGTACAGGGTCTCAACACGCAGCTCAGATTCACAGTGCTCCTACTATCTCAGCCTTCCCAGTGCTGGGATTACAGGCATGCCCACCACACCCGGTTTTGGTGGCTAGCACTGTGTGCCTGGGGTTCCGGGACCAGCAGGGCATGAGGATCAAACCTGCATCCCTGCGCTTCCAAGCAGGCATTCAGATCACCAAGCTAGCTCCCCAGCCCCAGAAAATTTTTTAAAATGCAATTATCTCCTCATGGTTAAAGGCCATTTATATATAGTTCACAGAATGCAACTTCATTCACTCTAAATGTCAATCCACCAGAAACCAAGTCAATTTAAAAGTCGTGTAATGAACACTAATAGAATTTTGTATAATTAGCCTACAGTACACTATTTTTGTATAAAATAGAACAGCACTAGAAATATACTGAACACTGGTAACATTTTCCTATTCAAGTCATTTTGGAACAGCCACTACAAAGAAAAAGTATTCCATGTCACTGTCACTGGGGAAAAAAATCTAAATCATAATAAAATCGTGCTCTAGTCTCAAATGTCAAACACGTTTTCAAAAGAAATACTACATATAATAAAGTCTTTGAATAACTAAACCTTCCCACTTTTAGACCACTATCAGCAAGGCAACCTCTTGATAAATACGTGCTATATCAAATGTGAAAAACCCACCTGCCACGGTTTGTGTCTACGAAGCCTCAGGCAGCCATGGGGCGGCCTCTAGTTCGTGAGTGATTCCCGAGCCAGTGCTGGGATTAATGCGTGTGAGTGCCGCACCCGCCCTGGGGGGGACAGCGTGGATCCAACAAGGAGGGGAGAGGAGCTTGCTAGCTGCTGCTCTGTCCTTTGCTCTTGAGTGTCTTCCGTGTCCACCAATGCTGCCCTCTGCCGCGTGCCGCTCTGCCTTGGAGCCAGCTGAGTATGGACTGAAACTTCCACTAACTGCGAGTTAAATGAACCTTTCCTTCCTTCATTTTGAGTGTCAGGTATTTTGTTCCAGCAATGAAAGAAAAGTCACTGAGACACTACCATTTCTTTTCTTCTCACTACATTAGGTTAAGAAGTAAAATAGTCTAGTGCCACTGTGAAATTGAAGCTAGCCTTCAGAAAACCATTTCAAATTTAAAAGACAACAAGGTTTATGAATTCAAAGCCCTTGATGTTTCTATGTTCTTCAAATTCAATTATGCAATCAATACCCTGAATCAGTATCACTTGAGAGATGCAATTTCAAAAGCAATTCCATTTTGCACTTTCCTTTTCTCTTAGTTTTTATTCAGTGTAGCTCCTTCCTCATCCTTGAATAAAAGCTTGAACAGCCGCATGGCTTTTGCATCACTTTTATTTAATGAAAGTCCTCAGTTACCTTCAGCCACAGAAAGTCTGTGGTTATTTCAAGACCCACGGCAGCTTTCTCCCAAGGACTGGCATCTGCTGCACAGTAACATCCAATCCCCTGTTATCAAAACCTCTGCACCCTCCTTCTATACTGTTCTAGACCTCTCTGGGCCAGGAGGGACTGGACGTGGATAATGAAGGAGAGCTGAAGGAGGCTGTACTCCTGCAACCGACTGGCTCAGGCGGTCTGCTGTCTCTATCAGTGGAATGGGAATATCTAATGTCCATTCTTTTCCAACGAAGCATTTGGTGTCTTTTTTAAAGGGCTGTCCCTCTCTCATTTCTAGGGCCCCTTTATCTAATTTGCTCAATGTAGACCATAAATTTAGGACAGACTACCTAAAGTGCTGGATTCAGAATATGGAAACATGGGGCTATTAGTTAAAACATTACTAAGAATTTTGAAGTGGCAACAGTGGAGCATTTAGCCAAGTGTGAGGCTTTTTTAAATGAATGTCTTTGCAACAGCACAGGCTGAGTGTCCATCACGCTGGCCTGAGGTATGCCTCATGCAGCGTTTCAAGTCCAGATTTCCCCACAAGAGCACCTGTGTCCTCTCTAGACTGACCTACCCACCAGGCCCTGCGTCATTCTCATCCCCACAGTGATGCTCATGGCCCCACCTTGAAGACATTCACGAATCTTCACCCAAATGAAAGCTGGTAACCTCCACAAGGTGACCCCTGAAGGCCCCTCTTTCATTCCATAGAATGGCTATCGGCTCAGTTCTGCCTCCATGTAGCCCCACAAAATCTGCAGAAGAAAGCTATTAAGTCCTTACACAGTCTCCTTGGAATCTTTTTCCTTCACTTGAGATGAAGGAAAAGGCCACTAGATAGGGCAAGACTCATCACACAGTCTTCTGGAGAAAAATGCACTTGATGAAAATCTCCCTCCTTCATCTCCAACAATTCAATTTTTTATATTCTCAGTACAGGGAAAGGTTTAAAAGTCAAAACTTATTTCAAATATTTCTTCTGCAAATCTGCATCTTGGTCTTCACTTTAATATTTCATATTTATTTATCATTATGGGTTCCCTGCTAAAATTACATTTTAACAACCCATTTTGATCACTACGTCTGGAAGAATTTGTTCACCCAGGAAAGAGATTTTATGATGTACAGTACTAACTCAAGCCAAAAAATCCCACCTCAAGCTATTTTTTAATACACAGATTATTCTTAGATTAGGACGAACTTTTGATGGATGTGCTAAAACTAATTTTGGCATAATATAAGAGGGAAATACATTTCTCCCAGATCCGTTTCTTATCTTACCTGGTAAATCTTACGGTATGGATAATATTAAAATGTTTTTCAACTGGTGTGAAATCATTTTGTGTATTTTTGTTGTGTTTGATTTTGTCTTAAAATGTCTATCTGTATTCACAAAAGCCAAGTGTTAATTTGCCCAGATGTCCCTCAAATCTGCATGTGGCCACAGCTGGAGGCTTTTCAGAGCTGACTGAATAGAGTACGTGACTTAGTCACTGTGCAGTGCTCAGATTAGGGGCGTGTGATTAGGAATAGGGGCATGTGATTAGGGGCGTGTGATTAGGATTAGGGGTATGTGATCAGGATTAGGGGTGAGTGGTTACTCATCAGTCCACTGCCTGGGTCGGCACATCCAAATCCCAGCTGCCTAGACACAGAAAGATGCTGTGATGGTCTCTCGTTTGTTTTGCTACCTTCTGCCCATTGCAAACTGTTCTCTGTGAAGCCATCCTGCGTTGGAGGCAGCTCACTGTAGACTGAAATCTCTATAAACCATAAACTAAATAAAATAAACCTTTCCACCTTTTTTTGTATTTTAGGGAAGGGTCTAGAGGGTGTTCAGGGTCTCATTGCTAGATCAGACTGGTAGTGATCCATCTGTTTACAGCCTCCCTTCTTAGGGCTGGGATTATAGGCATGTGTCAGCATGCCTAGTCTCAATCACCTCCTCAGTGTGTCCTGGGGGTGGGGCATGCATGGCAGGCCTGGGGATCAAACTCCAGCCCCTGTGCCTGCTTGCAGGGGCTTTAATCTGCTGAGCTATTGGGCTGGCCCAACTTTCCACTTTTAACTTTGAGTGTCAGGTATTTTGCCTCAGCGAGGAGAGAAAAATAACTAAGACCCCAACATGTGAACTCAGCTGAGCTGCCTATTAACAGATAAATAAGGAAAATTTAGTGTACAGATACAATAAACCATAAAAAGAGTGAAATCGAGGCATTTGTAGCAACACGAATGAAAGTAGAAGACATATTACGTTAAGTCAAAGAAAGACAAACACTGCGTGTTCTCACTCATGTGAAGCTGTAAGTGCTGATCTTCAGAAATAGAGAATAGATTAGTGGTCATTAGAGGCTGAGAAAGTAGGGAAGAGAAGGCATAGTGGGAGCTTGTCTAATCAATGCTAAAATACAGTGAGATCGGAGGAATAAGCTCTAGTGTTCTTTCCTTTACAACAATTATCTCTAAATAAGTGGAAAAGAGAAGTTCAAAAGTCCTTAACACAAAGAAATCACCCATTAAACAACTGATTTTAAAATCATTTTTACACACTTGGTGTTAAAAAAGTATCTGTTTTGCATTTCATTTTTTCTTACTAGAGAGATGGAGAAAATTTTCTTCTGCCAACATTTCCTATCGTAAGTGGATGAATTTTCCTAGCCAGAAGAGAAGAGAACAGTTACTGTAATTATGCACCTGGGAACTCCAGGTGACTTGGATTTCCAGGGTCTCATTCTGAGGATGCTGAGCAGTGGGGACACACACAGCCCTGCAGGCTGGGCAGCCAACTCGGCATATGTACTTGGCATGCTGCAGACCCATGTGGAATGCCAGGCTTCTGGAGAGCTGGAGAGATGCTACGCCCTCGGCCCAGGGCAGTCATGTCTAAAATAGCATGACACTTTTACAGTCAAACAAAGTACACCTGGCAGGCCTGGTCTAATCGGCAAGACAGTGACACTGTACTGTCTGATTTATGGGAAGTGTCCAGTCACTGTGAGACTGACTAGCTGGGCTCAGTCTGCTTATAACCATTTTGTTTTAGTTTTTTTCAAGTGACTTTTACATAAGTGATAGCCTTCCACTCTACCACAGGACATACAGATTGTATACAAAGCATGCTTGCTTTATAAAGGATGCTTGCTTTATAAAGGATAAAGGTAGCATCCACCAGGCTTAAGAAAACAGAATACATCATCCAGAGAATCCTGAAAAAAAGAGTTCAGGCTCCCTTTCCCAGTTGGAGGAAGTAAAATCTCTTCAACCCCAGGAGCATGTGCCAGAGACCTGGGATGGAATTTAAGCCAGTCAGAGCCCTCCACGCAGAGCTAACTCTAGAGAGAATGGTAGCTGAGGGTCAGTTCACCTATTGCCTGGGACAGGACAAGAGCGTCCTGAGAAGGATTCAACTCTCCAGTCAAAGGCAGGTGACGTAAGTTCACAGAGGCCAGAGCTTTTCCATGGCTCTTTGGACACTCCCAGTGTGGACTATGTACAACTCCTGCCATAGGCCCACCACAAAACGGTCCAGGAGGGCTTCTGGGGTGGAAAGCTTCTCAACACTTTCCTGCTTATGGCCTTCAATACTGCCACATTCAGCATCAGCATCCTTTGCCCAGAACCCATGTCAATGTTATGCTAACTGCTAAGGACAGCTTCCCTCTGGCCCCAAGAAACTCCCCATGACACTGGCCGGGGCTGCCACCTCCTCCTCTTCTGCTCATCTCAAAAGGTTCAGAGATTATTTAGAATTGAACATAAGCCAAGCCATCTGAAAACACAACTTATTTTTTAGCAAACAACATATCTATTCCTTTTAACATTCTAATAAAAAGCTTCCCTTTATTAGGATGCCTTGATTTATAATAGTGCACTTGTTTTTAGTATACTTCATTTTTGTTTGTTTCTGTGGTACTGAGGAGTGGATCTATGTAGTCTTTGTACTGAGCTAAATACCCATCCCATCTTTATTGTTTATTTTGAGACAGTCTCACTCAGTTGCTAAATGACCTGGGGCGAGCAATAGTCCTGCACTGGCCCCCTCCTGCACACAGATCCCAGGTATTGCTGCCAAGCCTGGCTATTTTGTTATTTTTTAGTAAGAGCATATTGGTAGCCTGGAACTTAGCACGGAACTCTAGACCTGTAATCTGGAGACTGAGGCTAGATGACTGCTTGAGCCTGGGAACTTGGGGCCAGCCCTAGAACCCTGAAGCTTTGCTTCTTAAAAACTAAGTAAGGGGCTGAGAAGATAGCTCAGGAGAATAAGTGCTTGCCCAGCAAGTGCAAGGGCCTGAGTTCAATCCCCAGTTCCACAAAAAAAAAAAAAAAAGTCTAAGGGCAGACCAGCAATGGAAAAGTAGTTTAATACATACAGAGACAATATAACATCAGAATTACTGAATAATAAAATGCATTTCAGGGAAATGAATCATTATGAAGACAGAAAGAAAATGTAATCATAAAACCAGACTGTTAAAGGAGCTCTCAAGCCTCGTTACCCTGAATGAAATACTAACTTCATCAACACAGAAGTTCTGAGAATATCACAAGTAAAGAAGTAAAACCATTGCCATTATCACTACAAGATTTAACAGAAAGAGATGTACTTTCCTGGTTTAGCTGATTATTTTAAACTAGTCTAAACATAGGAAGAATAAAGGAGAGCGCTTAAAAATCTAACACTTTCTATTGCACACTGCATTGTCTGGACCCAGAAAGTGCCCAAAGTCTATGTGGTAAAGGTATAGTCCTCTGCTTGACTCTACTGGCAGATGGTAGACTCTCTAAGAGGTGGGCCCCATGGGGGTGTGGGGCATTAGGACTGCGCCTTTCCACAAGACTGCGAGGCTCAGGCTCAGGCTCAGGCTCATTTTCTCTGTCTCTGTCTCTGTCTCTGTCTCTGTCTCTGTCTCTCTCTCTCTCTCTCTTTCTCTCTCTCTCTCTCTCTCTCTCTCTCTCTCTCTCTCTCTCTCTCTTTTAAATGTACTTGGTACAGGGCCTCACTATGCAGCTTAGATTCCTAGTGATCCTCCTGCTTTCAGCCTCCCCAGCGCTGGGATTACAGGTGTGGGACACCATGCCTGGACTCTGGCTGGTTCAGACCACCCTGGGGGTGGGGCTGGCACTGTACGAGGTGCCGGGGATCAAACTGCGGTCCCTGCGCTTGCCTAAACAGGTGTGTTGGTCCACTGAGCTATTTCACTGGCTCTTTTCCTCTCTCTTGTTCCTATCCATGAAGTGAAAAATTTGTGACACCACATGGCCCATGCTCCCAACATGTGTTGTTCACACACCACACACCACACATGCACACACACACACACACACACACACACACACACAGAACCCTCAAAGCAACCGTGGACTGGAGCCCCTGAAACCATGAGCCACGATAAACCTCTCCTCCATATTAACTGGTTCCCACAAGTACTTTACTACAATAAATGGAAAGCTGACTAACACACATGTAATCTTCCTGGGTTAGGAAACTCAAATCTGCATTGTAAATTATATAAGAAACATGATATAGTATATTTTAAAACAAGTTAACAAACTTATAACTAAGATAATTTTATCCTCTGAAAAGCTGGAAGAACTCTGCAATGATTTTTTTAAAAATAGTAAAAAAAGGGGACAGGGAGATGGCTCAGTAGAATAAGCACTTCCCGGAAAGCGCAAGGGCCTGAGTTCAATCCCCAGTTCTGCAAAACAAAAACAAAAACAAGACAAACAAACAAACAAAAATAAAAACGGTAAAAAAGGATAACTTTCATTGAGGGCTGAATCTAGAAAAAGCCCTGCCTTCATACCTCATTCTAGGCAGCCACACATTCTGGAACAGCGGTCAGCCAAGCTGGACTGTGTCACCAGGGCCCCAAACCACTATAGTTATATATCTACTTCTTTTACAGCCTTGTAACTTAAAGAGCTACTAGCAGAATGCCCCACACATGCCAGTTATGTATTTAGGGGTCAGAAGTTATGGTTTATATGTGAGACTAATCATTCCCACTGACTAGCTTAATCGGATATTTCCTTTTTTAAATGTATTTAGTACAGGGTCTGCAGGGTCTACAGGGTCTCACTATGTAGACCGGACTCATAGTGATCTTCCTGTGTTCAGCCTCCCAAGCCCTGGGATTGCGCCACCACACCCAGTCTCAGTCACTGTCTCAGCACACCCTGGGAGCGGGGCCAGCACAGCACAATGGGGATCAAATTCCCGTCCCTGCATACGCCTAAGCAGGTGCTTTAGTCTGCTGAGCTATTTAGCCAGCCCAATAAACATACTTCATTTGAAGAAAAAAATAATTTTAAATATTATGATGAAGGTATCATTATTGAACATTAGTAAATTAATCTAAATCTGTACTTCATCAAATGTATAAACAACTGATAATTTTTTTATGTTTATATCTAAAATAATACGTGCTTACTGGTTATCTGAGAAAATACTGGCCAAAAGAGAAAAAAAGAAGATAATTAAATCACAAAAGGTAGTTACCATTAAGCTTGATCTGTATCCTTTGTGTTGTCCAAGGATATATTAAGATTTATTGAGGACTTAAATGAATGCTTTAAGTGACCTTATCTACTTCACTTGGTAAATATGCCCTATTTCAAAAATTAATCTACATCAATATTTTAATGGAATTTCATGAGCAAATCGTATTCTTAAACCCTCACATTATTTTTATTAGTTTGCTTTTGATTATTCACCCTGACA